ATGTTGGGTATGCATTTATTAACTTTATAGAACCGACACGCATCGTGCCATTCTATAGAGCATTCCATGGCACTGGTTGGAAAAATTTCAACAATTCCAAGAAAATATGTGACCTAAGCTATGCCAGAATCCAAGGCAAAGAGGCCCTCATGCAACACTTCAGCTCAGCAACTCTACCGAAGAATCCTGCAATGCGACCACTGTTCAGGGTCGGTCAAAGTCTGCAACCTCTCCGTGTGCCAGGAGAGACTACTAGATATGCGAGCTGTGTGGTTGGTATGGAACCATCATCGTCCTCTATCTCTTTGGGTGGTCTTCTACCGGTGCCCACCAGGGCCCGAACGTTGCCTGTTGGACAGCGACTGCATCAATGGTGATGATTATGGTGGTGTTAACCTTTTTTATCGACATTTCCTGTGAAGTTAATTGCCCAGCTGCTCTCCTCGAGACATGCGGAACAATTCTCGAAACTACTATTTTCCATCTCAATTGGGTTTTTCATCCGGAATTGCTTCTCTCAGTTTCGCCAGGGACGTGCTTCATGTGTTGTTGCTGCTCCCAGCGAGTTATCGCCCTATACCATTGCTATTGCCACTATCATTTTCGCAACCCGTATTTCCAATGACTTGTACTTATAGTCTATTTCGTACTGTCGGTAATGCTACCGGCTTTCATAGTTATCTCTTTTAGCCTAGTAGAGTCTGTCAACCTGCTAGTAGTCTATCGTCAATTTCTCCTGCGCACATCAATATGCAGGCTCCCGTTGCATGAGGTTGGTGCACGTTAGATTTTCGAAGTAGTCAGTGCGTGCCATTATTTCGCTACAAGAATCGCATCAACTTCGTGTGCCACTATATTGTGAGAACGTTGTTGGGTTATATCGATAGTGGTAAAGCTGGTAGCTACAATCGGTGGGTATATGATCAAACCAAACAAGCTGTAATATGATACCACTAATTTGCTTGGGTACGGTACGGATAGTACAGAGATTTTCTCAATTATTTGATCACATCGAAGACTCGAAACCGTCCAAGAATACCCTACACTCGTTATTCGTTACGTCTGCCGCAGTATTGATTGACCTTGATCTAAAAAGCCATGATGAAGTTTATCAGATAAACACAACAGTACAGTTTTCCCAGTAGGTGGATACAGCAAAACATTACGAGACTCCGTAGCTAGTTGAACGTCTGGTAATGTTATACGCGATGTACCACGCCTGCAAGAGCGTTTGTCTCCTTCACAGATAAGCTAAACAACACGTCGTTTGTCTCATCTTCACAGATGAGATAAAAGCATTCCCGTCGGAGAGCTCTCAACACGTCCCCATCACCCGGAACGCAGACATTAATACTTTTGAGCTAGGTCTCTCTTATGCGTTGCTTCCCACCTATTAACTCTAAACGTAAAAAATTATTCAAAACTGTTATCTATGGGATTCGAGCTCGTGATTATACTCAAGAGATCCCCCGGAGCGAAGCGACGGGATCTGCTAGTGGAAATTCGTGAACGGAAGTTCACGAACAAAAAACAAAACCGTGCGGCACAGTCTTGTTTTATTTCACGCGTATGATTTTCCTTTCCAAAAAGACTTCATGAGGTTCACCATAGTAGCTTAGGCTCGTTTAGCAATCTAGCTTGAGTCTGGCAACATTTCGACTATTCAATAAACTCACAATCAGCGTTCCCGACAACCGCGAGGTCAGTCGAGTATTGCGTGTTGCAGGGTAGAAAACACACGCTCGAGCGCGTTTGGGTCGAATAAGCAGCACAATGCATTCCGGACCTCATTAGAACGAAAAGTACGATGATCTCTTCCCTACTTCTATAAGAATATAACCGCCTTCTGAGAGACTTCTAGAGCCGCCTTCCTGATCAATCAGGCTCCTAGGCCTCTCAGATACTGGTAGTACTACAGGTTGCGCGGGACTTTGTTCGCCCGCACAAACTGTGCTGAGATGATGCTACACGCAATTCGTAACAGAAATGTTCATTCCGTTCCGGTAAAAGATCATTGGCGTGCCGAGTCGATCCATCGAAAGGCTCTTTCAGGCTATAGTATCGAATATACAATGAAAGCTTTCTCAACTTCTATCGTATTCGCACTACTCGCACTATTCTTCCTCACAGGATGCAGCAAGCATAGTAGGTGTATTGAAAACTGACTTGCTCATTTATCTCATTTTGTCAGAGAAGACAACCGCTAAGCCGACGACTCACTACCCTACGACCAAACCAGCGACGACTACCAAACCAGCGACGACTAAGAAGTCCCTGAAGTGAGCGTCGTTCCCCAGCGGCTCGCCGGTCGGAGGTCCACGGGCTTATATTCTGTTATTTTTCTGCTCAACGAATCGCTTAGTCGAGTTTTTGAGCATTCCCAGTGCAACCCTTTGTACAGAGTTGCCGATTCTTTCGTTACGGGACGGCCTCTATAGTGCTCCAATACGACTATATCTCAAATCGTATAAATAACTTTGATAGAGTCCGGTGCAAATTCTGTTGTTGAGTTGAGTCAATAAAGTTCTGTAGATGGAGTATTCTGTGAGATGGAGGACTGAGCCGCTCTTGAACAGGTAGCTCTGATGTGAGACCATTGCCTGCGGGTTCAAGTATTTCTAATGGCTTGTAGTTATAGTCCAATGGCTTAGTAGCTAGTTAAACGTCGAACTAAGGAGCAAGAATGGTGTGCAGGTGTCTCCTGAAAGCCTACACTGTAGGCCCTACAGTATTATGCAGAGGAATTTATGTTTCGATAGAATTTGTTAGAGTATCGGAATATCATCACCCGCCTCTAATCGTGCGTATGTCTTTTCCACATTAGTACGAGTATCGTTACGATACTCGTACTAATGTGGACGATGGAGTGGTGAATGATTCCGTACGATACTATCGTTGGGGAAGAGTTTACTCTGTTCCGAACAGACTGTTCGGCGAACACTGTTCGCTTCGACACGGTCAGTCGGCCCGACTGAGTCGGGAGTCTCAGCAAGTTGCTGACAGCAACTCACTAACGGCATAGAGAATAAACAACACGCCTGAGTGGTAGCATGAAATCATGTTGAACACTGAGTTATCGATATTGTATCCTCCATCGGAACCTATATCCAAATTCCCGACGTCTGGTACTCTGGAGCACCCCCACACTCCTCCGCCAATCCTTTTCCTTTGACAAACGTCGCAAAGCTCTCATTCACAATGTAGGAGAGGTTTTGACACTCCTCTGGGATGGATGAAGAACGCCTCCGGTCCAGGGGCTCTGGAGCGCGGAATAGCATCAACATTTTTTCCGAAACTCAAAAAATCAGACCAGATTCGGATGGCTCGGTTCGGTATATCCAAGGATTTATATTTCATATTCAGTTGTTGAAGCAATGCTGCCGACACATTGTTCGATAATGGGCATTTTGTGCGAAAGATAGAACCAAACTGAATCATTATCAGTATCCACCTCCTCTTCTTCGCCACCCCCGTCTGCAACGCAGTACTAGAAGATGGAGATCCGCTACAGCCTTGTAACCACTTCGGATTAACCAGATCTGATGCCCCCTCTTCTATCACGCGCCGCAAAAGTTCGTGATGGTGCAGATCTGCAGCATGATCCAAACCAAAGCTTGCGTGCTTGAACATATGATCATCGAGATACCGTCCATTTGGGAGACCACCCTCGTACTCTAATGGGGGAAGTTTCCCCATAGAAGACTTGAAGTCAGCCCAATCTCTCAAATCGGTGATGGGGCATATGTCTCGGTCAGCTTGTTGTGAAGCACGGCGATTTCACTCGGAGCGTGCGACTCCCATATCGTCGAAGTGAATCAAACCACTTTCGTGTATAGCGAAGCATCAACACGATCGGATGGGCATTCATGATCGACATCATGTCGACGACATTTTTCATATAGGAGAAACCCCTCGCCGTTGTGCGCACGTTGTTCGTCCGAATTGGACGGTCCAATCGAGTGTAGTAAGTATAGAATGCTTCCAACCTAGTTGTTAGCACCTGTGACTCTGGTATGTGCTTACGAACATAGCGACTATATTGCCGTCTGGTCAGCCTCTCAATCCACCGTCCAGTACTCCGTATTGCTCGCAGCGTAAGATCCTCATCCTCACGATTTACTACGAAGACGCATTGACGTAAAGCCGAGAAGAGGGATGGACGGATATGATGGTATCCACGAACATACTGTTCAAGTCTACGAGCCCAATGGAAGAAGTCTAATTCGACCGACACCTTAGGAGTCACGCGGCCAAAGAGACTATTATATTCACCGGTGCAACATCCACGATCATCATAAACGACTATCAATTGACTTTCCCGACCAACACATTGAAGCTTTATTCCGTCCACCGTGGCTTCAAGATCACCAGTATCATCGGTATCGATCATTATATGAGAATCTCATAATGAGATATTATGGCCTTCATCTCGTTTATCATTCATATATGAACCCGGAGCAACCTGCTGGCCCCACTATGAATATATTTCGCGTCCGTCCGAAGTATGGATCCCATACTTGATCTCACAGCTAGTTGGAGGCTTAGAGAGATGGGAACACCGTTTTCCAGCTGAACTAGAGCGAAGGCTGTGCAATATCAACCAGAGCTTAGCCAGGAAGTTCAGCTGAATGCACAGCATTAGAGAGGATGATTATGAGGCATGTGCTACCGATGTG